TTGTAAACACTTAAATTTTAAGGGACTTGGTTAGCATCTGTTTGTGAAAGATGTTTTTCCCAACAGTGTTAAGTCTACATTGCTTGCCTCTCACCGCATTATACTGCCTTTGAGTGCACTTCTATGTTAGAGGACAAAGTCCTTGTAGTCTGCCTAGGGATACAAGATTACCTTTACTTTGTTATAAAGGTAACGTTCATTGTTGGCCCAACTGAAAGCCTCAGGGAATGCTCAGGGCATAATGTGCTGTTTAACCAAGCAAGACGGTGGCAGGAGGGAGAATTCTGAGAATTTAAGCCTTCCCTCCGGACTGAGGTGCCAGCCCTCTCCACTTTCAAAACTAAGATTATTTGCTGGCTCTTCTCTCTCCGGCATCCTGTTTACCACTGTGATGACATTAAATAATTAAGTGGCGAGTAGAAGACCTGTTATAACATATAACATCATTTTAGTAAGCAGGTGTCAAATGGAGTTGATATCTTTGTGCCCATTTGCCACCCAGAAGGCAAATCATCTTTCCTCTGCCACACCTTGCCTTACATTCATCAATTCAGGGAACAAAAAGGCTGCTATAGATGTTCATGACTCTGGACATTTTTTTCTGTTTTCTGTGCATTTTTGGAGAGCCTCTGAACTTCCTGGAAATCTGTGTTTATAGCTGCACCGTGAGGATTGTTTTCTGAATCCAGAGTAAAATGTGTATGTGTAAAATATCGAGTAAAACAAAATTTGATCTATATGAAATAATCCTTTTTGCTTCTGTGTGTAGTGCCTTTGAACTGAAAGCTCCTCTGTGCATCCCCCTGAAATAGGTCAGTGTATTTATTCCAGTATTGCTGGAATGCCGAGGCATAACATTCACAAGACTGGCTCCGGGCCCGCACGTAATACATATGCAACCTGATTTCAAGGATGAGAGTCCGTGTCTTGTCTGTTGAGGTCTGTCTGTGCCATTACCAAAGATGTGATTGCAACCGGGGTACCTGAGTAGCTTTAATCTAGATAGCACATAGGAATAAATGTTCTGGGTCATAAACATCAGCTTTGAAAACCTACCAAGATCTTCAAATTAATAGTTAGTTTGCTAGCTTATACTTAAGTTTACCACTGTCCCATGTTTGTTTCTGTGGGGTGCAGACGGAAGTTACATTTTTTGCGCAACTGGCCCCCTTAAGTCAATCTACAGCTATGCCATGGCACATGCACAACTGCAGAATGCTTTTGAAGCTGATCATGCAAAAAATGAACCCTCCTCAAAGGAGGTATCAAATGAAGGTGCTCTGCTTTAAAGCACCTTAGGGAACTTGTGATCCCTCGGGTTAATTTGCTGCATGATTGGGGCTGCATTAGCCCAGCCACATCCCTGGAGCTGTCAGCAGGAAGGGAGGACAGAGGCGGGAAAGGAAAGCAAGCAGCAGTGAGCTGCCATCTGGGGTTTGCCCAACCTAAGCTGGAGTGGGGGCAGGTGGATCACAGCCTTTCCACTTTGCGGCCTCCCCCTAGCTCACTCTCTCCCCAACCAGATGGCAGGGCTGGGGAGAGGGGTGGCTCTCAGCTGGATGCTCACCTTCTGGCAGGCTTGATTCCCCCACCCCCTGCCACCACCCCAGCAGGAGAACATCTGTTGGGGCAGGGTGATGCTCTAACTCATAGCACTTTCTGTAAAGCACCATGAGTTAAAGCGGGGGCCTGCACATCTGTCAGAGCCCATGGTTACCTCTGTTAGCCATTACCTACCTACAATTATACCTTCAGCTTCAATGGAGACATAGCCAAAGAGGTATACTTTAAAACTGGTAGTCTAGAGGAAAATATAGAAGAACTAGTGAGGACTAGGCACGTGTGCAGCTAGCAAACAACTGATCAACACCCTCATCCAGCAGCTATCTCCTGTATCTCTTCAGTATGGACCTCTCCTGCAGGCTAAATTGCTTCTCATTAATGAGACACTCCTGATCATGGTGCCCCCAGCTCTGCACAATTTACCAGAAAGCCTTGTTTACCACAAAACATCAGCACATATGTATGTATTCCTTTAAGTGAGGGCTTCCTTTTAATCCAGTTTTCCATCTGGGCTGCAATGGCAAATCTTTACCACTCTGAGCTTTCAAGCTGCTTTATAATCGCACTTTAATGGGTCCTTGAGGAAAATTTAACTTTGTTTACACTTTGGAGTTGACTGAATTTTGGTTAAGTTAATCCCAAAGTAGTTACAGCCTGCTGAAGAGGTGGGTGTGCTATGGATACAATGCATGTGGGTGATATATTTTTTATTTTAAACAATAAAAGATTCTTTTTATTCTTGTCAGTCATGCAGGCTCATTATAATTCGCATTTTCAGCCTTCATAATACAATTGTTCAATCATTTTTTTCCTATTGTGCTCTTGCAAACCATTCTGGTTAATTTCTGAAAGCTTTTCATTTCTCTCTCTAGGTTGTTGTTTCGTAACATTTTATACAAGGAAAGCTGCACTTGAGGCACAGAATGCACTGCACAATATTAAAACTTTACCTGGGGTGAGTACATTTACTTTTTGATCCTAATCACTTTATTGCTAGAAAATAGCCCCTTTGCTGAAGATGCTAGTTACAGGCTCTTAGTGCCCCAAATGACTTTGATCTTTTCAAGAGAGGGTTCTTGACCTGATGGTTCACATACAGTAACTATGCCAACTGGCCGGTCCAGCAGCAATGGCATTAGCTCTGAAGAAAGCTGCTTTTCTATAGAATGTCTCCTAGCTGGAAATAATAGCGGATTCTACTGTTAGCAGCAGCTGCTGGAGTGTAAAGGGAGCTAACATTTAAAGAAAAGAAAAGTAAGGACAAGAAAAGAAAAGAAAAGAAAAAGGAAAGTAAAACTTTACCCACCAGGGTGCTTTTTCAAAGAGGGTGTGGTTAAAAACATCTACCCAGCACAGGTGCAGTGTAACTTTCACAATGGTTTCGAAACCATTGACCGCCAATTACTCTGGATGTCACGTATTGATGTACAGCAGACAATTAGTAGAGTACAGTGGTATTCAAAGTGCAATCCCATTTCATTTTGGTGTTCTTAGCAATCCATTCCCACTGATACTTCACACTGGTAGTAACAATAGATGGGCTTATATTATTGGGCTACTTAAACAAAATACACCATCTGTGAAATTCTGTCCTCTTCAAGTTCTAATTACAGTTGTAGAAAGCACTGCATTTCAAGGTTGTTAAGGAAGTTAAGTGATCAGTTGATCTAATATTTAAAATCAGTCTGCAGGACCCAAGTGATGATGATGATGTTGTTGTTGTTGTTATTCTGATATGACAAATGCTTGATGACTCGGAGGGTGATGGTCTAAACAGAAAGTGAAAACAAAGGGCACCGAAAATATATAGCACTTTGTGAGGAGTATAGCAAATGGCAAAATTCCTCCATAGTTCCCATGTGCTACATGTGAATCCAACTCTATGACTTTGAAAAAACTCCCATAATCTATTCACATATCCTGTTTACCTTTCCCAAAAAATCATCCCTTTGAAATCAGGGTGTATTTCTTAAGCAGGGAAGATATTTTCTGCCCTGGAATTCATGCATTGGGATGCTATAGTATGGCTGCCTTGAGTTGTCCTTCTCTCCTGCTCAGGAGAGAGGGAAGGAAAGCACCCTTTAGGGTCATGGTTAATATTTTAGTCCTATCACAGCCGCTGCCTAATTGGCAATAGCTTTTGACTGAGCAGCCAAAAGCTGCTGCCAAATCGGCAGTGGTTGTGAGAGGGTTAAAACTGTAGTGCTGAAATTGCAGCTAGAGGTTGTGATGCTAATGAATTGACTCTGCCCCTCCTGGATAGGCTGACATTCAGCCATGGTGATCCCATGCTGTGGCAGTTAAGGTCCTAGGAAAAAAACTTCTTCATCCTGCCTTACCAAAACAAGGTATATGTCTTATTTTGGGGTATGTGGTGTAGAAAAACTATGGTAATATCTGTCTGCTCCACCCTGCACAGTTTATGGTAGAATTAATTCATAACATCTTATGGAACTATATAATTACAAAGATCAATGTCTGAGAGTTGCCCATAAATCCTACCCATTCACAGGAGTAGCATGAAAATGCTTGGGAATGCAGTCTCTAGAAAGTCCTCCAGAATCTGTCTCCAGTAGATCATAGTACCTATTATACTAAAGCAGTGATTTAATTAAACAACTTCACTTGAAGCAGAGAAGGCTCACTCTGTCTGGATCTGCAATTTGCGCATTGAAAACATTGGATTCCACATCTCTTCAGTTGAAGTTTCATTATAACACAGGCCATTAATGTCAGTGACTTTGGATCAGGCTCTAGAAGCAGTTTCTGTTGAATGGAGGGAGGGAACTAGCATACAGGCCCCAGTGCAGAGGCTACCACCAATCTTTGGGCAGAAATGGAAATCACCTTCCACTGCCATTGTGTGTCAGACTAGATTTACATCAGAGTGAATATGGGCCAGTGTCAGTATGACAGCTGGCCTCAGGCTGCTTTGCTGTAACACTAGATTTAGTCTAGTAGGACCTTTGTACACACCACATTTTTTGCCCTCTCATGCACTGCAACTGAATGTCTGTTTGCACAAGTGGGATTTCTAGACACTTTAAAAGTCTTTCTTGTGCATTAAAGTAAAACTCCTTGGATGTAGTTTAGATTGACTTGCCAGGAATTAAAGCATCGCGTCCATTGTGCGACACTCCAAAACTTAATTAGTTCAAAAGTCTAGTGCATGCAAACAGTGACATGACACTCCAAAATAAACAAGTTTAAATTGTATAAACCTTTTTAATTTAATGAGGATTATAACCCATGGGGTGTACGGACTCCCATAAAGCCTTCTTCTACAACCCCCAAAGTCTCTCATTTTCAATCACTTGAAATCTGTTTGCACTTTTTGAGGGTTATCCCTGAAATAAGGGTCAGGTCCACAAACCTAAGTGGAAAAGCCAAGGATGATCCATATGGATTCTGATTCATCAGAAGGCCAGAGCAGCTATCTCCATAAGTGAGGCTTGATTTACAGTTGCATGTTGTATGTGCCACCATCCTTTCTAATTTAGGCTGGTAGCAGGCTTTGAACACAGTAGGTAGATTGAGTAGTAAACTTCATCCTGAACAGAGAGATGAAAATATTGACCTCGTGCTTATTTCTTTGCATTTCTGCCTTTTAGTGGACATGAAGAAAGTAGGACCAAGCATAAATGATTAATGCAGTTTCTTGGAAGAAAATATTGCAGGGTGCCTTGCTGTTTGATTACAAGCCTTGGAATTAGTCAACATTTCCATAATTCTAAACCAATATACACCTGTTTTCCCACTGTGATGTGAAGGCACAACTTAATTTAACAGAAACCCTGCTGTGCTAAATCTCTCATTAAATACCAAACTAGTTCTGTAATTTAAAGTTGCAGCACCACTGTTTTGACTGAATTGCCTCTGTATTATGAAATTAATAAGAACTTAGTGATGCACTTCGCTTATATTCCCCCAAATTTTTTAAGAGCAAAATAAAAATAAATTAAAATGAAGATGAAGATAGAACTGGCACCAGCAGACATCTCAAGGTTTTTTCTGGTTTTAATTATTTTCACAAGGATAAAATACATTAAAAATGCTATTAATTTTTTTTTTTTTAAATCATGTCACAAACTTTCAGCCAGAGCCAGGATCAAATAACTTCTTTCTCCTCATAATGAATATAATGTTTCCTTGTGATATAATGGGGCTTTTCGCATCCCAGTGTAGATGTGTTTTCAGATAGTTAGGTACCATCTGCAGGTTAGCATCTTTTCTTGACAGAGAACAAAAAAGCAGTGTCTGAAGAATACAAGCTGGAGCTGATATACCGTGCATATCAGCAAAATGGATAAACCCCTCTGTTGCTTATTCTGTCTTGATGTCAGCATTATTAGGAGTAGTTTTTACATCTTGTAAACAAGTTTCTGCATGCATTACAGTTTCCAATATAACAATCAGACTACTCTAGTTCATAGAGGTAGGTAGTGATGCAGTTTGGATGCAGCTGATAAAATTCAAATTACCTTCAATTTGTTTAAGCATGAAAGTGATGTTGTTTAAAATATAAGTTATAAGACCTGATTTCAGTCTAAAAGGAACAGTTATGTTCTTACAAATATACTTCTTTTGAGTGACATAGGAATAAAGCTTTGATCTATCCCTGGTCATATTGCATAAAAGCTAACTATTGTATGGGGTAGGCAGGAGAGAGAAGAGGGACCAGGGGCTTGCCCCATGACCTGGATAAATTAATGTAATAAATTCTTCCTCTCTAAACCTACCCAGCATGTTAAATCCATCATAGCACTCAGTTCCTTCTTGCCCTAAATGTGTGCCCAGTGAATATGTATATTATTAAAAAGATGCTGTATTCGTCCTCAGAGATGGTCACAAGGTTGTATTAGGTATCCCAGTCCTGCAACCTCATTTACAGCAATGAGAGGGGTTTTTTAAGAATCAGGCTTCTCATTTAAGACCTGAGCCTCCACTCCTTGCAAAGGCAAAGCTGCCATATAGTTCAGTAGGGCATCCTGTGGGGAGTACTAATAGGTTGATGAGTTTTACTTTATAGGATCAATCTTTCCATCTGTAAAGTCTGGTTCTTGGGCCTAATTTTAACATATCTAATTCTGTGGACATGTACAGAATCATTGTGAAATGAAGGATCTGCTCGCCTCCCTTTACCAGATACAGACAACCATTTGGAACATCCCCTGCAATTCTTGCAAGGGGATGTGATGATCATTTTTTATTCATATATTTATGGTTATTTATCTATAGACCAGTTACCACAAAAAAACCTGAATTAATATTCTTCACTGAATGTAATTTTCAGTATCCTTGTCTCCTTGACAATATAATGCCTTGTGTGTAGGTGTGAGTCTTTTGGAGGGAAACTCTGGAGCAGTCTTACTAGGGCATTTGCTTTATGAATCAATTTAATTAAGAGTTCAATAACAGAGAAATGCCGTTTTGAAAAAGCTCTTAAAATTTTAACAGCAAGGAGGAGTCTACAGACTCTAAATGTCTTGTAAAATATTAATGGACTTTTTCTGCCAGATGTTGTCTGGGAGAAGGTTTTTCCTTTTTTTAAGAATCACTACTGGTTTTATTAAATGTGCTTATGTAATATAGAAGCATAATTGCCTTAGAGAGAACTTTTTGTTCAAAATATTCTGTTTTAACTTTTAATAAGCCACAAGATTTCCATAACAGACTATAGAATACGTGCAAATACAGTTTAAAAGGCAAGGTACCTCTTTTAGAATGCAGTTTGTTCTAGACTAGAGTGGGTTCACCGTCACTGCAAGTTCACTGTAATTTGCAGATTGTCAATACATTTTAGGATTTCCGCCTTTGCTCACCGTAGCAGAGTTTTCAATCCTTGTCATGTTCAAAGGCCTCCAGGTCTATGGGCTAATGATGCACCAGTTCAGATTAGTGGTACAGCTCCCACAGATCTTTGCAAAAGTAGGATCTTGCCTCCTGAGGTTTGAT